TGTGTGTGTGTGTGTGTGTGTGTGTGTGTGTGTGTGTGTGTGTGTGTGTGTTCAGATTCCGGTGACGGAGCGCGGCGATTTGGTGCGGCAGGGCGAGCTGACGGTGTGCGGGGGGGCTCGGAGGAAGCGTACTGGCGTGAGGAACGTCTTCCTCTACCAGCACGTCGTCATCTTCACCAAACAGAAGAGCGCCGGCCCGGGACGCACCGCCTTCAGCTGCAAGCACAGCATCAAGGTACACCACACACACACACACACACACACATACACACACGCACACACACACACACACACACACCATGTATACATCACTTCAGGGGACATTACATTGACTTACATGCATTTCCTGGAGACTTATTCTAACCTTAACCATAACCAACACATCCCTAACCCTAACCCTAATCCTAAACCTAACCAAGTCTTCACCCTAAAATGAATGATTCCCCTTATGGGGACCTCCAATTTGTCCCCATAAGGGAAGCGAGTCCCCACACGTGACTGTGTAAACAGATTTAGGTCCCCACAAGTATAGTAATGCTAGGCCACACACACACACGCACGCACGCACGCACGCACGCACACACACATATATATAAACACACCTCTCACACAAACACACACACAGATATAAATACACCTCACACACAGACAGATATAAACACACACAGATATACACACACCTCACACACAAACACACACACACATATACACACACAGATATAAATACACCTCACACACACAGACACCTCACACACACACAGATATAAACACATCTCACACACACAAACAGATATAAACACACACAGATATACACACACCTCACACACACATATATATATATAAACACACACACACAGATATAAATACACCTCACACACACAGACACCTCACATACAGAGATATAAACACACCTCACACTCACACATATATATATAAACACACACACACTGTTGCTCACTTCTCTTTCCCCTCGTTGATTTTCAACCTCAAAAAATGCTTTTCTTTAATTGTCATTATCTCTTGAGCGCTGCGTTTGAAGGAATCTGAGAACAAATCTAATTTCTGTACATATTATATTTAAAGTAAAGTCCTATTTCACTTGTTTCTGCTTTAAATGTCACTTTTTCAGTCTATGTTCCGTCATTGCCTCTATTTGTCTTCTCGACTTTACATTGCTTACGCTTGAGATGTGTGTGATGTGTTCTGTTCTTATGTTGACCTTACATTTCACAACAACATTTCTTAATTTGAACTTTTGTTCTTTCTTGTGAAGCAATTTTCGAATTCTATTTCTGTGAAAGTTGCTATGCTAAATAAACATATTCTTATTATTACTGTATCACATGTTCCTCCTCTCCCCTGCAGACCGGGGAGATGGGTCTGACTCAGAGCGTGGGGGGGGACGGGCTGAAGTTTGAAGTGTGGGTGCGTCAGGCTCCTCGAACCAAAGACTGCATCACGCTGCAGGCCAAGGACAGGGAAGGAAAAGTGGCCTGGACTCAAGACATCGCCCACCTGCTGTGGACTCACGCCATCAACAACACAGGTAGAGCCTGACCTCTGACCTCAGAGGGCTCAGCCATAGGCTCTCAGGCCTTTTTAATAAAACGTAATCCACCCCAAATCCACCCAATATGGATATGTCATATTCATATGCTGATTGAAACATTGCCATTGTTGTTATTGTTATTTTTATTAATATCATCATGCGTCACTTTCCACCTTCTTCTCCAGTAGGACTCAGATGAGGGTGTTGCACTTCTTTTTTTTTTTTTTTTTCTTATACATGTGATGTTTTGGTGTTGTTTTGTTTCTTTCCGTTAACCGTTAAGTGGGAAATAAGTTTTTTTTTTTGTGTTTCTCTTAGTATCCTAAGATACTGTTAAGTTTGACTGTGAAAAAAAAAAAAATTATTATTATGAAGGGCAGACCATCTATTTGTATTTATTTTGTTTTTTTTAGAAAGGGGCAGGTCACATAAGATGTTATTCTTCTCCCTGCTCCTTTTCGCTCAATGGTGTTTTGGTAGTCATGTTTTGTGGCAATTATTGTATATTTGGTTTTGCGTACCATGAGCGGGACAAATAAAAATGAAATGAAACAAATTCACACAAATGTCTGAGGGATATAAACTGCGACTTGACTGGTTGAGTCAAACAACTGCAAGGATATTTTTTTCAAATTCAAGGCTTTTTGTCATTCGTACAGAGCTACAGTGTTATGTCGATGGAAATCTTAGGTCCCAGGCTCCTCCAACAGTGTGACACAATACAACAGATAGAACAGTGCAAGGATATGATTCTTGCAGAACATTATTTGAGTCACCTGGGTTCTTAAACATATGTTTGACAGTAGTCTGTACATGTTAAATATAAGTGGCTTCTCCTCTGGCCAGGTTAAGGACAATCTGATTCTTCTTTTTGGATCTGAATCTAGATTTTCTACTTTTAGAGCGGCATTGTTGCCACGTACACAAACAATAATTACTGGATGTCTTCATCATGTTATCTAAAACATATGTAAATATTCTGTCCCAATACTGTAGTGATTTCTACAAAAATGGTGCCGTTTTGAGTTACAAAAATATCCTTTTTTCTATGATTTCTTCCCCCAGAGTTGTGTCTGAAGGAGTCGCTCTGCATGGGGATTTCCAGTAAGCTGCTGCTGGACGCGACAGGAACTCCTGGATCTGAACTGGACTCCATCTACAGTCTCAATGACAGAGGTAGGACAGGAGGGAAACATCTGTAACACAATGCAGATGCAGTGTGGGAAACTACAGGTAGAAAAAGCACTGTGTACATAGGGAGTGGGAAAAGAAAGGCATGTAAACTGACCTGGTATCTATAGGTATATCGCTAAATAACGTAATCTTACAGAGGATGTGATCATGTTTGGGAAAAGGTCTTCTTTTAATTTCAAACGGTGTCTTCAGGAAGTGTGTCAGTCCAGATCAGATTACCGGACTGTTCAAATTTGCTCTCTGAGCCGCGTGTGATGGCCAAGAGATTACCGACAGGAAACTAAACGGTGCTGGTTGTTTCTTCCCATGTGACAAAGTAATAACGTGCTACATGTTTTTTTTTCAATCTGGCGCCCCCGGGCTATTCTATGAATTTTTTATAGTTGCCTCGCGCTGAGACATTTTGAAGAGCTCTGACGTGCCTGCAGAGAATATGTAACGTAGTCAAAAAGCACCTTTTACTTCTCATGTGATCAAATCCCCTCACAGCGGTCAGTCTCAGAGCTGGGAGGGCTTCGTCCTGATTACCTCAGATAATAGACTCATATACAAGTACACTTAACTTCAAGCATCAAAAGGGAAATTGTGAAACAGGACGGCTGCAATTTACTCTTATTTTCAATCAATCCGGCACGTACTTTCCAGATGAATCAATTAATCATCTGGTCTCTAAAACGTCAGACAATAGTGAGAAAATGTCCATGACAGATTCTCAAATTCTAAGTAGATGGCTTTAAATGTCTTGTTCTCTCAGAGAACAGCTGGGAATAACAGTTTTAAGATTCTGAGAACTGCATTTTATGAAATGTTTGCAAAACAGTTGGCTATTATTCTTCTGTCAATTGGCTTATCGGGTGGTTAACCAGCTCTTTGAAGTAGCATACAACCATGACATTCAAATTATGTAGAGTGCATTCCAAACATAGTACTTAATTTAACATTGAATCCCTTTTTCATCTCAAAATGTGGGCTACTTTAATGTTAATGTTGTAATTTATTGTCTTTTATTGTGATGGTAGTAATGTGTTTTTATTACATGTACTGTACAGCACTTTGGCTCGACCAAAAATCGCTTTTAAATGTGCTTTATAAATAAAACTTGATTTGATTTTGATTTGATTTGAATGTCAAATGATTGTAACCATGTGTCCACATATTCTTACTTGATCCGATTAACCACAATGCAGTCTGATCACAAAAGTCCTCTCAGTAATCAAACACGTTATTTATAATATGTGTCATATGTTCAGGCAGCAACAAAAATGGAGAGTGGAAAATATATGAAAGTCTATCTGAAAAAAAACGAGTTTGAGACGTTAAAAACTAACATTGTTCTTACTTATTTATGACAGAATAATTTCTCCCCACCTACACCTCCACAACAGCTCCCTCCTGAATACACACATTAAAGTCAAACACGACATGAAAAAACAAGGAAATGACTGAAAGCACCACCAGAGGCCGGTTATAGAAAACCCCCTCCTGGAACACACATCACATGTTGATGCTATACGATCACTGGCCCGCCCACAAATGGAAATAAAAAACACACAAGAGGAAACGTAATTCCTCAGATTCCAGACCCACCACCCAGTGAGGCCTGCTGGAGCCAAAGTGATTCCCCATTCATGGCTGGGTGCAGTGCACATACTGCTCACCAGGTGTCTCATTGAGAGCAGCAGCTCAGGGTTTCAATGCATGAATTGTCCTCTGGGACAGAGCGGCAGCGTGTTAGAAATTCATTGAGCAGGATGAGAGAAATGCCTCCTCTCTCTGACTCCTCGCCCTTTGTCTCTCCCCACACCCAGTTCTCCTATCCAAAAAACATTATAATGCCGTCATTTTGGATTTCTAAGATTATTAAAGTGCGTACACACAATGCTTTTGTAAATGGGGAAGAATCCATGCGTGGAAATGATGCTTGAATGCAGGATGGTTTCAGTGTTTGACATTTGATTTATTACCTAGAGCAAATAAGGCTTCAAAACACATATTTTAACACAAGTGCTAGATGTTCTGATTGTTGGTGCTTTCTGTTAACCTTTAACCACCTTTCTCTCACGCAGTCCACAGTAGCTGCTCAGACTCCTCCTCTGTGGGCAGTCAGAAGGAGGGGGGGTCCCCGGCGTCTGGGAGGGACCCCAGGAGAAGCTCCGGATCAACAAGTTGCTCCCAGGTGGGATTACATTTCACCATTCAGTCATTCTAGGGTGCATGAAAACATTTACACTTGCAGAAATGCCTCAACATAGCTTTGTGAGGAATGTGTAGTGGCACCACAGGGTTTTTTTCTCTAAATATTTGAAGGTTTTCCATGAAACGTTTTTAAGAACCTGTGTTTCCCTAAAAAAAAAAAACTCCCTTATATGACTTTCTGATGGCCTGGGAACTATCTTGAGATGATGGTCATGGTGAAAGACGAGCCTTGAGAATGCAAATGAGAGCAGCATTCTTTGAAACCATGCACTGGTTGTCACTAGTGTCGACTCTGTCAGCCAACTCACATATAATGGATTATCATGTGAGTGTGGAATATGTAAAGGGGGTGATATTTGGCATCAGAAGTTGGATTTTGATGCCTCTAACTATAGGTTGATGTCAGGGTGGAGCGGTGAATGACAGCATTTTGCCAAGTAGACTTTAAACAAGCATGATTGGAAAGTTGATGAGACTGAAAGCGGGAGTATCACAACACAACAAATAACTTTAATTGGATTAGCAGGAGCACTGGAGTGTGTTCCAGTTAAGTTGAACCTTTTTAAAAAGACCCGAAAACTTGACATAGGGATATGTCAACAGAAATGTTAACAAGTCATCCAAGTTACATCTTGAAAGTTTTTTAATTCTGTATAAGAAGCTTCACTTCAACTGCTACAGGATTTGATTTGTAGATTTGATTGTTTTTGATCTGTATTTTTGAAAATTATGTTACCTTTTTAGTTTTAGCATATTGTTTATTATAACTTAGTACTTTTTTTAACGCATTTAAGATATGCAACACTAAGCTGTCTGTGGCTCTTTCCTGCTGTAACGCTGCACATTTCCCCTCTGTGGGACTAATAGAGGTATTCTGATTATGATTCACATAACAAAGTGAAATACTTGATGTGATCGAAACCTACACAGAGTATGCAATAAGAAATGCATTCTGCTTCATGTTTGTGTGCAACCAGTGCCTTTTATAGAAGTGATAGTGTTGAGACAGAGGGGATGACAGGAGGTCAATGGTATTTAATTAAAGCGCACTTTAAGTATATAGTATGTCTATTTTATTTATATGTGTAGTAAGTCTTTATAATTTAAACACACACTTTATCTTTAATTTGATCAGCACCACTATTATTTATTTATATGTACAATTTTAGCAATTTTTTATATTGTCCTGTTCCTGTAAGCCAGTACAACGAAATTCCGTTTTAATAGTACACTCTGTGTCTTGTTGAAATGACAATGAAGTAAGTCTAAGTCTTATAGGGACCGAGCTCCAGTACATGGGCCACCAGCTCCTGCATTATGCATATTGACGTGTGTAAAATCCGTATTTGTACTATATAAAAACAGCTAACAAAAAACTATGCCTAACTAGTCCACCTATATTCCACCTTAAAGAAACTATGATGGAAGAGGTCAAAACAACACACAACATTTTCCAAATTTGAAATATGTGCTTTCATTGTTTCATGATCTGGGGCAGTTCATCTTTCAGTGATTTCATCCAGCGCTTCAATTTAACGTGGAAACTCTGCCTGCTTGTATTTCTTTCTCTTGGTAAACATGTGGAAGGTATGGTCCTATAACAAAACCCAACCACTAAGCTCAGGGTTAGCACTGTGAATCCGACTATTTGCCATCTCTCTTTCTTATTTCCTTTCACTTCACTTTAACTTCTGTCTAATGAAGGGATGAATAGCAGAGAGGAACAGACAAGGGACGTTGCAATCAGAAATCATTGAAATGTGTCTCTTTTTAATCAGTAATTTGTGCATTCAAAAGCTCATTTGGGTTTGAGTCATTTTTGCTCTTCTCTAATGTATTATGTATTATACAAAAGAGAGTATTTTCATCGAGCCAAATGAACAACTTAAACGTCCCCTAGTTGCCGTTGAATTGCAGCCATTTGAATGTAACGTATGTTTGAGATTAGTGGAGGTGTTACGCTACAGTTTCAGTTTAACAGTGAGGTTATTTATATATTAGGTGAGAGTGCATCATCTCAGTTGTAAGGAAACAACAATACCTGCCTGCCATTTCCATAGCAGTTTAAATGAATGTGCACTGTTCACACACACACACACACACACACACACACACACACACACACACACACATACACATACACATACACATACACATACACATACACACACACACACACACACACACTCAAATCTCCTTATCTAGCAAACAGAATATGACAGATTGGCAAACAGACTGTGCTGGGAACAGATTGACAGACAGACGGACACACGCAGCCCAAACAGATAGGGCAAACACAGAGACAGCGATACACACATATTCAACAACAGAGGGAGGATTGCCGCTTTAGCTTTGGCACGCACACACACTTTAGCGCAGAATAAAAAATGTGACTGTTTCTGTTTTTCTTTATTCCTCCTCAGAGCCACTCTCCCTCTACAGCTGTGTAACTGTCTTCTCAATAAGAGTAAGTTAGTCTTTTTTGATTTCTTCCATCTTTTCTCTTGATGTTGTTGCTCCGTCACTCACTTTCAGATTTTACAACTTTTACTGATTTTTACTTTACTAAGAGAAATCAGAAACATAGTATCTTGGAGAATGCTTAAAGTGACAGTTCTTGCCAAAATCAGAAACACAACATGTTCCGCTTATCTGTAGTGGTGTTGAGCAATCTGGACTGTTTACGTTTGGATATAGTGGCTGTACAGATGCTAGCCTTATCTCCAATATAATGGAACTAGATGGCACTCGACTTGTGAAGCTCAAAGCGCCAAAAAACGTTTTATTTTTATAGAAACCACATGCCGGGTAACTCCAAATAATTCACTAAGGTTGTTGTTGGCAGTTTCCTGTAGGAACAAACTACACACGATAACCGTTAGATGAGGAAGCCAGGAAGTTAACGTCTAACGGTCAACAGTTTGAGAGATTTCCTTACTTTTTGTGTTAAGGTGATATCCTATATATCCATCAGTAAGCAACCACACCAAAAACAATCTAGATTGATAAATAGCTCTACAGGTTAGACATGTTGTTTTATTTTTGGGTTGAATAAACATACTGTACATTTGAATGTAAAGCTAAAATGTAATATGGTTTCTTTGTGTCTCTTCCTGTAACTTTCTACAATCAGAAACTGGACACTTGAAGATTTGAATCATCTCTATTCCACCTCGGGGAAGCCAAACTGGACTTCGCGGAGCAAGAAGACAAAAGAGAGACCCTCAGACTCTATTTGAACTTCTCCCACATGCTCTCCTTCCCTTCTCCCCCCTTCACCTCCTTCAAAGTAATAAAAGGCCAGCAGATTAGCTGGACGACCGCTGCACTGCCACATTCTCTAATAAGCAGAGGAAGAAAGAAAAGCTGCCTCCCGAAAAAGCATCAACGCTGCCCTGTCTAAACCATGACGAGCACCAGCAGGGCTCTACCCGCTCCGCCATTTTGGATCTGCCAGCCTCAGTTGCTGGCAGAGTCATTGACACCAAAGGCACTTCAGCCACACAGTGCGGCCATTGTCTGCCCCGCGGCTCCCCACTAGGCCAAACCACTTGGTCTGAACCACTGACTGCCTGGCTGGCTGACTGTACGCATCACATGCTCCAGAATCTGATAATAAACAGGAAGTAATATGCGGGGCGTAAATCCACCGTAGGATTGCAGATTTAGAATGTATGTACTCTGTCATTTTCATAACGCTGAATGGAGTACTGTTTTTGTTCTCCCCCCCTCTTGCCTGTGGAAAAATGTGTGGCATAGGCTAGGTGTGATTGCATCTATGTAAATGAGGCAGGGGTGGTGTGAGCACACGTACACACAAACACACACAAAGAGTGTCCGTCAACACATGCAGTCACTCTTATTGTTGTAAGACAGTGGAGGCTCTATTCACATGCTCACACACACTCACTGGCCGATTTAGAGCCTGGTACAGTGGCTAAATAAACATCTGATCACATACAGGAAGCATTGCCTCGATAATCAACGCCTTATAGGATCATATCCGACTGTTTCTTTAAGCTAAAGATGTATTAACAGTGGCAACAACTGGTATTTAATCTTCTTAAAAGTATAACTTATGTCAGCTACTTGAGCTTGTTGGTGCCTTATAGTGTACTGATGATGAGTTATATGCATTTTGTTTTATATTCTATGTGCCAAAGGTATAAAATGGGTGTCTGTGCAATGTTGTTTTGTGTACAAAGAGGTATTGTTGTTACATTTGGTTTGCTCTTTCCGGATCTCCATAAAATGGTAGATCTGTTTAATTTGATTTATTCCGGTGTTGCTGGTTTTTTTGCTTGCGGCAAAGAGGTAACTTACTCAAAACGAGCTTCTAGGTTGAGGTTCCAAGAAAAAAAAGGCCGTCTTCTCATTGTCACTCTTAAGCTGAAAGGATTGCTTTATTTAACATTTTTAAATAAATAGTTTGACAGATTGGGAAATGTGTAATTTAGCTGTCTTGCCAGGAGGTAGATGAAAAGATGGATACCAATCTTCAATGTCTGTGTGTAACATAGGAAGCCTTTGCAAACAGAGTTAGCTTAGCTTAGCTTAGCATAAATATTGAAAAACAGCTAGCTTGCCAAAAGATAACAACAAGTACATACCTGCACCTTTTTAATCGTATAAGATATAACATGTTAAGCCTAAAAGGGTGCCAATAGGTGGATTTGTTACCTAAAGATAGTAGCTGTTTTGGCTAGCTTACTCTTTGTGCTAAGCTAAGCTATCTCACTGCTGTAAGTAGCTTCATATGGCCTGTAGAAATAAGAGTGTTATCAGTCTTGTCATCTAGTTCTTGCTAAGAAAAGCTAATAAGGGTATTTCCTGAAATGTTACACTTTTCCTTAATCTCCCAGAAGTAATGGCTTATTAAAATAACTTCCACTCACGGGACAGACACTACTTCTCTGCTAAACACACTCATGGGTACATTTGAGTAGAAACATGTAACACTGCTGAGTTGTACTCAAACTCACAAAACTACAATTATAGTGAAGATCCCATATATATTACATTAGTGATTTAAATCTACAAAATAATGCCCAGCATATCTGGAAATTCTCATTTCATTGTCATGTTATGATGCTGACGAAACCAAAGATATGAATATTTCATACGACAGTGTAGTTCATATTGTATGACAGCAAGCATGCAGTCAGTAAAACCAATCATCATCCACTCACTGGTTTGATTTGATCACTATCAGACAATATCACGCTTAAGGTACAATATGAAACCATCAGGTAGTGAGAGATCCAGCAGCAGCGGGAGGTCAAGCTCACGTCTGCAGACGGCCGCGGTTATCAGGTTTAGCACGTTTCATATCTGCATTCAAATTCAGAAATTGCAAATGGCTATTGAGCCGTTTCTGAATCAATATGTAATTTGTTGGCTTGGAGAAGGCCCTCGTACACCTCGTAGCCTTTAGCTGTTTGGTACATTGCGTTATATTGGAAGCGATGTAATGAACACCATCTTTCATTCTTACTGCAGTATAGATTGTCACATGCAAAATCCTCTACTTTTGTATGCCGTGCAAGGCAGTATTAATGTAGAAACATTGTGCTCTCTTTCTACCCTCACACTCTGCCTAGTGTTTACATTTTTTTAAAGGAATGTGGAATGTTGCAAACGCATGTTATGCTTACTTGATATTTGTACTGTTTTTGTACTTTTCTGTGTTGAATTAAAACTAGATGCAAGTTTGAAACGTCTCAGAGGGGATTTAAGAGGAGGGGAGACAGACAGACAGACAGACAGACAGACAGACAGACAGACAGACAGACAGACAGACACACAGACAGACAGACAGACAGACAGACAGACAGACAGACATACAGACACAGACAGACAGACAGACAGACAGACACACAGAAAGACACACAGACACACAGACAGACACACAGACAGACACACAGACACAGACAGACAGACAGACAGACAACAGACAGACAGACAGACAGACAGACACACAGACACACAGACAGACACACAGACAGACACACAGACAGATATAGGTGCATTAAGTCAAAGTAGAAGTACCAGAGTGTAGGAATACTTTGTTACAAGTCAAAGTCCTGCATTCAAAATGTTACTCAAGTAAAAGTAGAAAAGTATTAGCATCAAAATATAGTTAAAGAATAGTCCTTTTGCAGATTGGTCCATTTCAGAATAATATATATGATATGTTTTATAATGATTGATCATTAAAGTGTTCTCAAAGCTGGTAAAGGTGCAGCTAGTTTGAAGGACTTTGTATACTGCAGGGTAGCTTGTGAATTTACTCCAGGTGGAACTAAAGTCTGATTTAACACTTGATTACATTATTAATCCAAATCTGTAAAGTATCTAAAGGTATTAAAACAATGTAGTGGAGTAAAAGTCCACCATTTACCTCTGCACTGTAGTGGAGAAGAGGTACAAAGTATAAAAGATAGAAATTCTCAAGTAAAGTCCCTCATGATTGTGCTTGAGTAAAATACTTGAGTAAATCTATTGACTTCACTGATGTAGAGGGATAAACTAAACACTATGGAGCAGTGATGTCTCTGAGGTGTTGTTGAGGGTTATGGCCGGCTTGTCGCAGGTTTAACCTCAAAATAAGGCCGGTAACCTCCACAACCTGAGAGTTGGTGTAATGCGTGGGGTCTTTTTCTCTCTGAGCGCCAGCTGTGCTGCTGCTTCACAAAAAGCCGAATGATTAGATAACTACAGTGCAGCGCCATATCAAATAGTTCCAGGGATCAAATTCTCTAAAGGAGGGGAGGGCAGTTTGAGTGTGTGTGTGTGTGTGTGTGTGTGTGTGTGTGTGTGTGTGTGTGTGTGTGTGTGTGTGTGTGTGTGTGTGTGTGTGTGTGTGTGTGTGTGTGTGTGTGTGTGTGTGTGTGTGTGTGTCCATCTGCGTAGAGAGAGAGGAATGAGAGATAAAGGGGTGGGTGAAGAGGAAAGGAGGGGGGGGGGACAGGAAGAAGTGAGGGAGAGAGAAAGGGGACAGGAGACAGTAGGTGGGAATGATGGGAAATGAGCGAGGGCGAAGGGGCAGACAGACAGAGAGGCACAGTCAAGGGGGAAAAACGAGAGGAATAATAGAGAGGGGGGCTTATATAGAAAGAGGGAGACACAAAGTGGAGTTAGAACTTTTTTTTTTTTTTTAGGGAGAGAACTAAGAGAGGGCCGAGAGAGCTGCAGCGTGGATGCAGGAGAGAGAGAGCGAGCGGGGTAAAAAAGGGGGGATGTTGACAAAGCAGCGAGACTGTGGCGAACAAAGAGAACGTGAAGAGAATGAGTCGGGGGAAACATCAAAGGGATTTTTCAGGCCCGGTTACCGGGACAACAGACATTTGCATGCGATTAGCTTTTTACATCATATTAAGAAGGGTTAGGGTGAGGGAGGGAGGAGGGGAGGCAGGGAGCTATAGATCATACACACACACACACTGTATGAGATAGTGGGAGAAAAAAAAGGGGAAAGAAAAAGAGGGACGTTGGTCATCTCACGCGGATAAACTGACTTATAGGCAGCCAGCCAAGCGTTTCCTTTGTAAATGAGAGTGCATGTTGGAGGGAGATACAGTAATATGCCGGCACAGACATTTTGGCAGAGGGAGGTCAGAGCAGGCAGTGTGTGTTTCTTTTATTCGATTTGATTTTTTTGGCTGCTTTGAATACAAGTTTGAATGATTTAGAGCTCTCAGTTTGATAGGTTTGCCACCATCTCAAACAGGTTCACTGATTTAGGGTTTATAGTTTACATTACAATCACATGTGTCCATATTTTAGCACTTTTTTTTACCCCGAAATATCTTCTTCAACCGCCAATCATTCAATCCAGACTTAAAATATAATGAAATTAATCAAAAATAAGTAGTGATCAAGGATTAACCAGACAGATGTGATGTAAATCTGGTCAACTACCTAATAAATGCCAAAAAAAACACACCCATCTCCAATTGTTCCAGGATCAAGTGTTTCTTTATGGGTTGAGATGAATGATCCCACTTCTTAAGTTACGTAAACCATTAAATTGGATAAGCAGATTAATGCATTGTCACAAATCTGAAACCCGGTGGTGACATTTCGGAGATACATTAACACAACGACGGTTGAGAATAGATCGAATTAGTGAAAATAACTTACTTAGAATTACATTATTATTATTATATACAAAAATTCCACTATCATAAATGCACGTCTAGACTCAGGTATGTGTG